AACTTCCTGATTCTGCGTGAATTACCATTTTTATTAATCCAACAAATCTTTTAGTAGGTTGCATTTACAGACCCCCATTGTCTGCACTCAGCGTAACTGATGACTTGACAGCTGCTTTTCCTTTTATTGCCGACCTCTCATACAATAATATAATAATCGATGTGGATTTTAATATGCCCGAAATCCCCTGGTCCCTTAACAATGAACCACAAAAACACAATCCGTTTATGTCTACTCTTGGTCGACTGGGATGGGTACAGCACGTCAAAGAACCTGCACGGCTTGGTAACACACTTGATCTAATATTTACCATGAGATGTTCACATGTGTCCACATACATCAGTGACAGATTGTCGGGTAGTGATCATGACATTGTTGGTTGTTCTTTCCAAATTATTTCTAAACCGATAAAATCATTGAGCAAATACCGCCTATTCTTTTCTGTGAATTGGTCAATTTTCTCGGATCTTATAAGGTCTTCAAACTAGGATCCATTTGTCTTAGCACAGAATGTACATATTGCTTGTGATGAGTTCTGCCACCGTATTCAGCTTTGTGTTGAAGTTGTGGCTCCAGAACGCATTAAGAAGTTGAAAAGACTGCTGCATCTGCAGGCACCTCGAAAAAAGTAGCCACTAAACTTCATAAAATAAAGTTTCGGAAAACAAACGATTTTACTCTGCTGATGCCCCATACCAGAATGCTTACAGTTATACCAAGACCACCACAAAATGCTATGCTCTGAGGAGGTAATGGCACTGAAGGGCGCCAACGTGGTAGGCTGCATCTCAAAACGTTTGGACTATAGGCAGAGTAGAAAATCAAGTTGTATAAACTTTATTGTAAATTCTGATGGAACTGCCATAACCGACCGTGCAATCTTATGTTCGAGCTTCAATGACTACTTTATGTCTGCTTATAGCACTAATGCGAGACAGGATGCTCTACTCAAGCTGATAAAGGCAGCAATACACCAAACTGTTGAATCCGTACGTAGTGATATATGTCGCCAACTCAGGTTAGTTCGGCCATCATGCTCACTAGGCCCTGACAACATCTCGCCAATTCTAGTCAAGCACGGAGGTCCAGACATCCCCCTGTTTTTGCTTGATGTATTTGCACTTTCCATGCCCAATGGGGAGTATCCTATGCCCTGGAAACAATCAATTGTAATACCACAACACAAAAGCGGACCTATACAAGATGTAAAAAATTACCGCTCAATCCACCACACATCTACTATCGACAGAATTATGGAGAGGTTAGTTAAAGGACGCATAATAGAGTATTTCAGTTCTATGAGCCTTCTCAGTAAACATTAACACGGTTTTTTGAAAGGTGGGTCGTGCATTACCTGTCAGTTAGATTATCTTGCTTATGTGGCAGAAGCAAGAGAGGCCGGAAGTGCCATCATTGTAATATTTCTTGATATCCAAAAGGCTTTCGACCGTGTCCCACACAACTTATTGTTGCGGAAGCTTATGTCCTATGGCATGACAAATTCGCTTCCAGAGTGGTTGTCTTCCTACCTTGAGGGTAGAAAGCAAGTAGTCAAAATTGGTAACCATACAGCTGAAGCCACCTCAATCTCTAGTGGAATGACTCAAGGTAGCTTGCTAGGCCAGCTTTTGTTCTTAATCTATTTCAACTATCTTCTTGATGAAACCTTGTACAGAAAGCCATTCCACTTCGCTGATGATGTTAAACTTGCGTATTGTTCCGCCTCTGGGCAACGTAGTCCTACTTTAGCCCTTATTCAGTCTGACTTATCCGCATTGGAACACTGGAGTAACTCCTGGAAGTTGCACTTTGCCATTGACAAGCGGAATCTATTGTACCACGGCTGTGTACCTTCTCCGAACATTCTAACCTTAAACGATACCCCTATTCCTGTGTGTAGTGCAGTCCGAGACCTTGGTCTAAGATATGCTGCCTCATTTAATTTTTTATAGCATGTTATATTCTTGCAGGCTTCTGCCAGAAAAGTGATCGCCTGCATAAGTCAAACTCCTATCTTGAAGGATTCCAGGCTTCATAGCACTAGGAAACATTCAACGATTATTCACAAAGCGATTTTTGAACTTGCCTAACACTATGACATACCGTGAGCGTTGTGAGGCTCTAAAATTGGAGCTACTATGGCTCGCAGACTCAAGCTTAATCTCTTTCTTCTATACCGCTTACTATTCGGATTACGCTTTACTGCTCAGCCACAACTCGGGTTTCAGACTCGTATGCGCTATGAACTACGAAACAGCGAGCACACGTTGCAAATACAAAAGTCTCGCACAAAGCTCCGCTCAAATTTTTTCTCCGTAAAATATGCGTTAATATGGAACAAACTTCTATCGAGTATTAGAAACTACACTACCTATCCACAATTCAAACGCATGATTAATATTCACCTGACTGTTGCAAATATCTGGTCAACACTAAGCCAAACGGTGACTCTAGATGATTTATATGGGAAAGGTCCCCTGGATACACTTGTATTCGACATATGACCTAATTGCCTCAATATTATAATTTTACCTAGATCTAGTTGAATTCTTGAGTATGTATCTATAAATGATCTTACTCCTATCGCTCCATCTAACCAATTTTGTTTTCTCCTTTGATGCACTGGTTCGAAAATGCACTACGCCTTTCAAGCTGAAGTCTCTGTACCATCGTCGTCACTCGCCAAGATTTTCCATCAAATTGTGCTTGGCCTATCGGAAAGCAGTTGTATTCATTATTATGTTTTTATTCCTTATACTTTATCTTCTTCCTTGTTTCATTTTTGGCTATGACTGGACTAATCTTTTGAGGTGACGGATTACAGCTTCCAAACTAAGAAATTATACCCATGCAAATCATACTGTTACTGTCTCGTTGGCTTATTACATAAAAGTGCCATACTTTTTTGATCCGCATGACGTAACGGGCTGAAACTTCATCGCCCATCATGTATGCATAAAACAGCCCTTAAAAAACATATGGTACCTATTCTGATGGACTATTTACTATTTTGCCACACCGGCACAGAGCCAGTTAGAGCATGGAAGTGCAGATGAAACCCAGCGAGGGAATACCCTGCATTGAAGCAGGTCCCCTGGGGACAGTTCCATGGGTGGCGGTACTACTTTACTTACACTTTCGGTTACATCTACCTTTGTTACTGTTCCCAGTTTTTTAATCTCTCTACTACTACTTTCAAACTGCTAAGCACTTCAAAACCCATATGGAAATCTTTGTACAAAACACATACAATTAACTATATTATACGATCACGTTGTACAAGTTGATCAGACCACTCAATTGGTCTGTGCCTCTCACTGTCAAGGAATGAAACGTTTATTTACTTATAAATCTGTAAATGTACGGCAAAATTCCGCTGTCTGTCGGTGACTATGAAACATCGATAGTCTTTCGGTTAAATTCGTAGAAAAAGAAAACAACTCATTAACTGTCAGTGGTACAGTTGGCTTTGGCGAATTTGGAATTCACAAATATCTGACATGTTATTGCACTTCTAGGCACTTTCTTCTCAGTACACAACGCCGAGGAGAAGCTCTTTTACCTGAATCAAGCACGGCTCATGCACCTGAGAAACCAACGGATGCTGGTCTTCCGAGCATTTGATGGTGTGGATGGCAAGAATGTGACCAATACAGTCCCAGCTGAATGTGGGCCAATGTTTTCTAGATATATTTACCCTTCACATAACCGATTGGGTCTCAGTGAGAGCAATGCAACGAACCCCTTGGGTTCATACTTATAATACTATGCCGTCGTTAGGGTTTAAGCTTACTCTGAAGGCAGAAATGGCCCCAGCAGAATTCCATCCGGAGGTGATGTTTTCCATGGTCCAAATCTTTCTGGGGAGATTAATTCCGTGATGTGGGGGTTTCCCTATATTTAACAATAGCTGTTAAAAGTCTGTCTTTGCCAGGTAATTTATGATAATTCACTAGGGCAGGCTCTTGGTAAATTCTGCCCTAGGTGGCAACTGCATTCTGCATCTACATCCTCAGCTTGCGTGTTAGTTGTAACTTCCTTTTTGTAATGTTTATGAACAATTCTCGTTCGTTTTACAAGGGAAGTTTATACACTGTAACGGACACTACGACTGCATTTCATAGAGTAATGGTTTTGGGTTTGTCAATTGGTTCATCATTATGTGCAGTGTGATCCCTTACTGCGTTGTGCCAAAGCCAATATGGTTAGTCGTATAGTCTCCGGCCACTCACTTCTACAACGAAAAATAAGTGCGTAGCTGAGATCAGATTGGCAGTCTTGTTTGTCACCAGTTATCTATGGTTTTCGGACAGTTTCCAATGTCCAAGCAAGGTACCTTGGCCTCTGTGCTGCATGCTCTATCTCATCGGACACTAATGATTCTGTCGCTCGAGATCTATGCGACCCAGTCTTTGGTCGTCATTTCTCACTTATCCATGATACAAGTAGTTTACCCTTCTACCATACCAGTTGCATCACCATAGCCTAGGTTTTCTGCTGTAATCAATCCCTTAAAAACCCTCTTTTCTGCCTTGTGCAATTAAAGCTCTAGGTACAAGCGATTTGTTGATAGGTGAAACAGCGAAACAGCATTCATTACCATTCTGGTTGAATGCTATCGGCTCTGACTGTTTCCTTTGATAGTCGTTAGATCACTAGCCACTGATTATTATCTTGAAATTTTACGGAGTGAATATTTTGTTCAACTATCATTTTAGTTATAACAGTGTACTTCGGCGGCTTCGCTGAAAGATTTCAATCCTTCTGTCTTCCTTTATGCCCTTAACTAAACAGACCATGTTTCAGCAATTATGTCTGTTTTCAATGCATTTTACCAGACTTCCTCACCTCCTGACCCTCGCTAATAGTGATTCCTGAATCCACGATTCGTTAAAATTTTGCATAAAAGCACGCTGAATTCGCTCCACTCGATGTATTCCTGTTCGCTTTTTCCTTTTTATTGCTTTTTGAATCTTAAAGTTGCTTTTTTGAATCTCTAGAAGTCCATGAACGCTCTGAATGAAGTTCGTGCTCGGAAGGTGAGCTTGATTATGCATCAGTTACTTATCCGTGACAAACCCTTTGGTTCTAATTTAGTACCTTGTTTACAATACAACAGGACACTATTGGTGCACTCTCAAAGCGACCCTTAACAGGGTGTGTCGATAATCGATTTTCCCGATGCGTAGCACCACAACAAGCAAACCTCTTATTGACCCATTCTTTGGATTAACCCGTTGCAGAACTCATTTCATCAGGGACAAGCGTTTATTCTGTGAAAATTACAACACATTTGACAAACTCCTCTATATAAATCATCCATTCACCTGTATAACTAAAGACCCCTATTAGCCGCTGACGTTCCTCCTTTGATTCAGTTAAACCCACACGAACGTCGGCCATCCCGTTTACAGGGATCGAATCCGTTATGTGCGTCTCCCCTTGGGTGTATGGCTCGCTCGTTTAAGGTATCAGTCCGCTGTTAAATGACACTCCCATCCCGTCTTCCCTTTTTTCATTTCCTTTTGCCTCCATGTTGTTCCGCACTCCGTAACCTTTTCTCACTCTGCGTTGTCTCCGCAGTGTTCCCGTTGCCCCACTCTACAAGGTGCTTCACTCCCAATCCACATTGTTGTCTCCATTGTCTTCTCAACTGTACTCCATCAGTTCTGGGCACTTACCCCCCAACTTTTATTTCGTTTCTCCTTGCACCGACCTTCGCAGCCACAACATCATTCTTCCACTTTTCTTAACCATCGGGCGCTGACTGTACCCATACTTCCTCCCTCAACGTTAGCTCAGGTAGTGCCCGTGCACTGGGGTCGTTGTACCGTTCCTTGGGGGTCATTCGTCTTCTCAAGCTGTTCCGTAGCCTCTCAAGTTGTGGGGAAACTGGGCGCACTATTGTGGCGGATGCCAGCATCAGAGTTCTACTCCGTCGGCTGTATGTGCGCTGCACTGGGCTCAGACCGATATCCGTTGAAAGAGTATTACACTTCTCCAGTAGCATGAGATACGGATCTTCGCCAGTAGCTATAGTCTTGGATAACAGTCGCTTAGTCTGCTTCACTGCTGATTCCGCCTTTCCACTCAATTGACTGATGCAGGCTGGTTTGCTGGTGCAACAATTGCCACTTGGTTACGAAGACCTGGAACGCAGCGCTGATAAACTGAGGACCATTGTCGGAGACCAGCTCCGCCTGTATTCCGTGTTGCGCGAATTGACATCTGACCTCGTTGACTGCTGCTTCTGTTGTCGTAGTGGTAAATCGTTCTCAAAATAATCACTATAGTAATCCACTGTGAGTAAGTAATGTTTCCCGTTGTCACGAAATAAATCCACCGCCACTTATCACGGTCGATCGGGGACATCATCCAGCATCATTGGTTCCTCCGTCTCTCGGATTTCATGCGAGCGGCACGCCTCATCTTTTGACATGGTCCTTGATTTGACCGGTCCTTCCTAACCGGAAGATCAATTCTCTTGCTCGGTTAGTAGTATTGTTGGTACCCAGGTAAGCGCGATAAACACATGTCATCCTTTTTCCCGGGAGCGATGACGGGATCAGAATACGGCTTCCCTTGAACAGTAAACTATAATAGACAGCGTTCCTCCCGGAAATTGAAGTAGGGTGTTAGTTCCATTGACAGCTGCTTCCTTGTCTCTTGCCACCCATTTAGAATGGCGTCTTCCAAATCCGAAAACGTTACATTTTCCTTTCGTATCATCTCGTCAATACCATTATGATAACAAGAAATAATCAACATGCTACTCAAAAGGTGTCACCAGACTAACCAAAATATTAATAATCTTTTGTCACTGTCAGACTCTGTACCAGGTTCACTGCTTCGACCTCTTCCGGATGATGCTCGGCTACTGGCAAATGCGCTCTTGACAGCGTATCCGCGATGAGCATCTGTGCACCCCGCGTATACACGATACCCATGTCGTAGTTTTGAAGCCGGATAAGCATACGCTGAAGACAGCACGAGAAGTTGTGAAGCAGTTTACTGACTATCGACACAAGCGGTTTATGTTTGGTATGCACAGTTGTCTTCCTTCCGAAAGTATACTCTTTGGAACGCCCCATGGCATAGGCTACCGCGAGCATCTCCTCAATCTGCACATAGCGCTGCTCGGTCACTGTGAGTTCTTGACTACGGAAATCCAACGGTTTTCCATTCCGTAGGTGAATAGTACCTGTTGCGTCCTGGCTGCTGTTAAACTGTACTTCTAAAGGCTGCGCTGGATCATAATATCCGAGTACGTGCACGTTGCTGATTAGGTGCTTAATGGTAGCGAATGCGGTTTTTCTATTGTTTTCCGCAACTCCAGTTTACTCCTTTGTGGGTTAGCTTCCTGATCGGCGTCATGATATCGGTGAGTCTGGGCATAAAACAGCTGAACTAATTCGTCATACCATTAAAATGATGAGTCTCCTCAGGTCGTTAGGAGACGAGGGTGGTGTCTCTCGTGTCTGCTTAATTTTTCCTGATCGACCCTGTTCTCTTCGTTCGTTAGCACATGCCCATGAAAAATTGCCTTGTCTATCGGAAGCTCTTTTTTTCTCATTTGTGCTTGACGTTCTTTTACACAAAGCTGCAAGAAACGGCGGAGATTAGCCTTATGCTCCTCCTCCGTTGCTGCGTAAATGAGTACATCCTCTGGTACACGTTACACCAACTAACTCCTCGACTGCTTGTACCAACCGTTTTTGAAAGATTTCACTCGAAACCGTTAAACCAGACGGTAGACGTGCCCAATAAATACGCCCAAACAGTTTGGCAAAAGTCGTAAGGACGCTGGACTCTTCATCTATAACCATGTGCCACAATGCGGAATATAGTTATACCTTTGGGAAATACTTAGTTTTGGCGAAACGTGGCCAAATGTCTTCTAACGTCTGTAGCGCATAATGCTCTACGCAAAGCCTAATTCAACGGTTTCGGGTCAATACACAAGTGTACTTCGACCGTCTTCCTCGTAATGATTGCGACCTAACTAACCCATTCGGTTGGCTCGTCAACTTTGGCAACCACGCCCTCCCTCACTAATTTGCTCAATTCAGCGGCGAATCTGTCATACAATGCAAACGGAACCCTGCTAGCCGGCAGCGCATTCGGTTGTATCGAGGGGTCTAATGACAAATGATCGGTCCCTCAAATTTTCCCACATCCGAACCAAACACAAACGGATGCTGGTCACTAATATCAGTTTCTCTCTGGCGAGCATAAGCGAAACAATTATGATTAAAAATAACAAAATCGAGCTACTGAGTTGAGTGAATGCCTGGAATCGATGTGAACTGCTATTCCACGACCAAAAAGTACGGTCGGGGCTGATTGAATGTTTTGCATCTGCGGGTGATTTATCACGCACGGTCGCTCTCACATTAGCCGAATGACAGTCCCCTCGCCGAAGACTGTTCCCGGCTGATCGGGTGTCGTGCAGCGTAAAATTTGCAGATTTCTTGTCTCACGTTTATGACCTTGTTGGTTGTGCACCCGAAAACGGCACACAGTTCCGCGTTAGTTGCGAATTCCATTTGTTGATATTGATAGGCGGTTGAGGACTCATTGTTGTAGCGATAAGTTGCGTAGTCGCAAAAGCCTCTTTGTCGAACCTCCGTCGATGATTCCCAGAACTATGCGTTCCCCTATGAGACTGTCTCCCATGCATTTACATAAATTACAGGATGACGCCAAATTCTCTTACTCAGTGACATCGACTTATTCATTTGGCGTCTGCATGGCGGAAAGGAAACTTTACTCGGTTTTGTTGGTTTGCTCTTCGCGAAATCCACAGAACTTTTCAATAACTGTCTCCAAATCATTGGGATCTTTGTCGTAGTGCAGTGTCCCTAGCCGATGTGCCTCCGTCATAGTTTAATCAGTTTAATTGTAACTGAGCTGTTCGGATGTAACAATGGTATTATAAGGGTTAAAAAACCAGTGCTTCACAGGTCGCGTATGGTGGTTGTGGTGAAACTACAAAATATAAAAGAGACGTTGTGAGCAATAAGGGGTTTACACCGGTGAACTCACCGATGTATACGTGGTATGAACTTTAAATCCAAGGTAAATCCATAAGGAATGACGACAAATGGGATGTTGGCAAAAATCTTATATCCTCCTTGAGTAGACATATGGCATGTGAAAAACGTGGAGCGAAATCTGGGAGTTGACCACCAGTGAAATCTTCTGCAGACACTTGTTTTTATCCATGCGTAATGGGTCATGTAAGATGGTGCAGCGAAAGAAGTTCACGGTCAATTCGGGCTTTGAACTCTGCCAGCGTGTGAGCACAAATGACAGATTCCGGTAGGGCATTCCACGTTCGACAAACGCGTACGGAAATGAAATTCCGACGGCATTCCAAACGACTGTACTGTTCTGCCAGTTTGAGATGATGTCCTCTAAACCCTAGCAAGTAGTGGCACGTGTAGTTGAGATCTCTAAAAGCTTGTTAAATCAAGCAACCGCCGATACTGTCCGCTGTAGACCCCGAGCATTTGAAGCCTACGTTCATATGGTAAATTATACCGACGCTTGACATTTTTGGTTCCCCGGCGTTGGAGTATCTTCAAGGCGGTGGGATCTCACCAAAGCCATGGCTGCCAGATCTGTAGTACGCATTCCACATGTGACCATTTGTATTAGCAAATAATTGTGGAATAAACGAAGGTCTAGTCGTCTGAATGCACGCTTCTGGAGGCCAACGCGTTGGATGGCCTGCCTAGACGCCGTATCAGGCTGGTTCGAACAGTCTCATGGGGGCTGGATAGATCTGGGAATCATCGACGGAGGTTCGACAAAGAGGCTTTTGCGACTACGCAACGTATCGCTACAACAATGAGTCCTCGACCGCCTATCAATATCAACAAATGGAATTCGCAACTAACGCGGAACTGTGTACCGTTTCCGGGTGCACAACCAACAAGGTCATAAACGTGAGACAACAAATCTGCAAATGTTACGCTGCACGACACCCGATCAGCCGGGAACAGTGTTCGGCGAGGGGACGGAAATGTGCCAAATGTAGAAAAAAAAGAACCACTTTGCTCGTGGCTGTCAATCGGCCAGTGTGAGTGCGCTGGTTTGTCACAAGTCCCCAGTAGATGCAGAACATACAACCGACAACGTGTCTCGGGAGGGATCACATTGTAAGTCAATTAGTCGACGGAAGAGTCGTACGATTCAAGTTGGACACGGGTGCTATTGTCAATATTCTAACCGGAAAGCATTCTCCCGAGGTGTGCATCCGATAAGATCAAGATTGCTTGCTCATGTGGATTAGCGTGTTGCTTTCCACTGTTACTTCGGGATTGCTGCGCTATACGTGATTTGTTTGTGGGAATTATGCACCAATCTTGTTCTTATTTTGTACTTTCCAAACTGTGCGGATGTAGTGGGTCTTCTCTGGCTATTTTCGGAGTGCTCATTGTTCGGCCCAACTGTCGTCTGTGTCCGCCATCTTGGATTTGTTCCACGGTAGCGGCTACCATGACCGCCACAGCAGTAACCCGAAACGAGGTATTTTGTGCTGAGGTAGCAAAATTAGGGTTGACTTCGACAAACTGTATTAACCGGTACCATTCAAAGTGTGTCAAGGGTTGTAGAACCGACGTAAAGAAATACAATATACCGGTTTCATTTTGCTTCTGTCCGAAGTGTACCATGGTTCCACTAGTAAAATGCGTACTAGCGTTAACACCAAAGTACGACAGCCTAGTCGCCGAAACTGAACATCGTTTGAATGCAAAAACTGCTTTGCTCGAGGCGACAATTTCGCATCTTGCACCTCCTCCGTCTCCTTCAATTGCTGTCTTGAAACTAAGGAATAGGGCCGGACGTTCACACGGCCACGCAGTACTAGAAACCTTTGGAACCACGAACCAAGTCGCCATCGCTACCGATAGAATCATGCCTAGCCGCACCGCTCACATCCTCTTATCCAATGTATCGACTGATGCAACATCGATAACACTCACTCTTCCGATTGACTAACGAAATGAGAAGCGCTCTACAGACCGATCCACGTATACAACCGTTGCTGCTCGGTTTAACAAACTGCGACCTCATAGCCTCATCCAGTACTGCCACAAAACGGGTCAGGGACCAGGTGCAACCTGCAGAGACGTCACTAAATCCCTTGATAACCGTGTTCCTCACATCACCGATGAGATGGCGGAACTACGCAATTCGGCCAATCCGTGTCCAGTAATCGAATCCGTTACGTCCGTTTCCCATTGATTGTCTAGCTCGTTCGTTTGATCCATCAGTCCACTCGGTTATAACCCTCCCATCACAGAAGCGTTCGTTTAATGTTCTTCCCAGTGTCGTTTATGCAACTACTCAGTTCGGACCGATTACTCCCCCACGAAACCTAGCCGTCTTATCAACTGTAATCGGAGGACCTGCGAGACGAACCTGACCCCAGGAGCTCATCAAGAACAGGAGAGAAGGAAAGAAAAGCATATCGCACAAGCGCTTTTCCTTTCTCAGCAGAAGGTTATGCTCTCTTTTTATATCATAAATAACTCACGAAGCCGTGCATGAGATCAGACGGGACGAAGTTGCTCACGGAAGCCTACCGTGTTGTGGTTTGGAATTCGCGTGGTCACACTGCGAATGCCACACGGCGTAGCTCTTTAACTTGCTCCTGCGAGTTTTGGAGTCTGTGACGCTGATGCGTATTTTATTGGGATCCCTTACCGTTCCTGCTACCAATTCACAAGGTGTTCGTTTCATCACAGCACATTTGATTTCTTCATATACGTTGAACAAACGTCGTATCAGTTTACAATGACTTACGCTTGGAGGACAGTTCATTTAGGTTTTCACCACGCAGTAGCCGGCGAGCGCAATCTACTATCTTTGTTGTGCAGAATGCCCATGTTGCAGTCACCAATGACAAGTCACTACGAACCCTTGATACTTTGTGTAAGCCAGAAGAGGCATTATCTATCTTCCATAATCATTTTAATTACATTTTAGTGGTACGCCACTAGCAGTTCTCTACGAACTAGCCTTGGTTTGGTAAAATGCGAGTGATCGATTAGTATGTTGTCGTATACAACAGGCCAACGTCTGACCGAAACAAGTTATCCTACGATTGGCCACCTTTTCGAATACCGAAAATTGTGTTCACCTGTGCTGGTTTATCCATCCGCCGCTGTAATACTTTTGAGTCCCCGGGGGGTTACAGAATTCGTTCAAGGTGCCGCTAGCTCGGGTCTTTGACTGCGTGATTTGAAGAGAGATCAATGTTACGCCCATCACACCTATCAGCATTAAGTCGACCACACTTCCTCATTTGAGTGTACGGTGGATCAAGTGTTGTCGAGAAAACAGTTCTTTTTCTCCCTGTTGTTGATAGTCACCGATACAAACATACAGACTCAGGTGGCAGTCCCTCCGTTCCTGCGTTAGTAGGTTCATCTGTTTTGAGTTCAACTCATTTTTGACAGACGAACCTCTAGTATGGTCTTGTCACCCGAACCACTGGACTGCGATGTGTAAAGCCACTTGTAAATACAGTCAAACCTGTCTGAAGCAACCACTCAGGGGACCGACAACAAATACTCGCCTTGGACAGGTTCATGCATAGAGATGTTACTCATAGAAGAAAATGTTGGGGATGTTTTTGGCTGATCGCCATATATAGGTGATCGCCATAGACAGGTGGCCGCTATGGCAGGTTGGACCGTACATGCATTCTTTGTTGAAGGGAAGACGTTCACATATAATCAGCACTTGCAACCTCCTGTACAGTGTTAATGGAACATCGCGGAGTATATTTCAGCTTCGATGAACATAAGTCGCATTTGTCATCTTAGCCACAGCAAAGTGAACTTGTAAGTGAAACTGGAAACAGCATCGTGTCTTCGACAGGCTCCACGGGACCACTAATTGTTTACCGACGCTGATCTGATGAGACACTCATGGTCGCATGTACCTCTTTATCATGTAGATGACGACACCGAACTATAAACTATTTGAATTGATTTTCTGCGTATCGTATACTTTTGTTCCATATGCAATGTGTTTGGTAGTGAGTTAACGGGGTTGATTGGATTATGACGTTGAACAGCGAGAACCGCACGATGGCTATCTCATCAGCAAGTAGTTTGCAGTTACACGGCATTCACGAGGTATTGTTCTTGTTCCTGAACACTTCTTCGGAGTTCTTTAAGCTTTCTAATAGGTTCTCATCTTTTCACCAGTTAGGTCACTTAGTAATTCATAGTTGAATAGCTGCTATACACCCGTGCAAAGCACCGCCGTTGTACTTGTTGTTGCTTCTGCTAATGGTTCTGGGAACCAATCGGGTTTACCCAGTTGTACTCCTTTCGTTCTTTCTATTCAGGGGAACCCCATCGTCATATGCAATGCACATGATCCCGATATACCGAAAGATGGCGTGGTGACTATTGAAATTCCCCACACTGTGGACTGTTTACAGGGAGTGCTGGCTGTGATTCCTCTGCAACTCCTCTCGTTCCACATCGCGGTGCGGAGAGGGCTTGATGTAAGTTGCTTTCATTCTCATGGCACTGATGTACGTGTCCTCTGTCCTTTTGGATTTATCAATTGGGTATTACATCGAATCATTTGCGTTGTTCTCCATCATCTCGAGAATGTTCTAACAACAATCCAGATTATCTTCTCTCTCACGATAGTACACAGCACTATCCCTCAATCATCATTCTCCTGCCCCTCGACTTTCACTCGTACTTGGCATTGTAATAGGCACTATATTTATTATCTTACTATATTTCTTATCGTCACCCCCCTGGGTTGCTGTCCTACTCTGCTCTGTGGATTTAATTGATTTGACAGCATTTCGCCCACGCATGTTACCGTAATTTGGACCTCACTCTAGTCATCTTTGATTTTATCTACCGCTTCAATCAAACTGCTTCCTTCTGTTCTGTGGTACAATTTGCAGCATGATAGCGATTCTTTTTTCTGTGACCTCTGATAATGCCAAACTTGTGACCACATTTGCACCAAACCAGTTGTAGTGGACGCGACGACCATCCATGTTTCTCCCGATGTCATGGTGGTTTGCCGGAGTCCAATTAAAATGAGTTCGACGCAGACCACCTTGGAGCTGTTATGACTCTGGCTCAGTTGATTTGCCTGCGTCAGCTTACCAGATCGCTTTGCGTCGAACACTACGTAACTGTAACCATGGGTCAATTTGAGTTTGCCCTGTGTCCGACTCGCACCCAGTGGGGGGGGCAGGAAGTCTCATGTGCCTCTCCGTCCTCTGCTGGTCGCTTTAGTTGGGCTGGTCTCAAGTGCACTTGTGAGCGCCACTTGTTTTCGCGCGCCGAATTGCAGGAAAACTCAAACAGCCTGACACTTCAAGGTGAGGTAAATACTTTGATCAGTAAAAAGACCTCTTCGATGCGCTATAGGCTAGCTCATCTACTTCTGCTGGGCCACGTGTAAGGTTCATCCTGCATACTTGTTACTTTGTTTTTGCTACCACTAGCTCCATCCACATCAGATTTGTTTGTCGCTTCATGTGAATCAAATAAACCTTATCCATTTCTTTTCCACGGTTAGTAGCTCGAGTCTGAATCATTTTTGGTCTGTTTGTAGGATCACTTTTTTCAATTACATCATCCATTGGGTGTGCCCTTTTTGCTGTTCTTGGAAACCTTACGCTGTTTGTTATAAATTTGCTCGTGACAGACCGGCAGGTCGAACTGAGTTGCTCCTTACCCGTTGCACATTAAGCGATAACCGCTTGTGCTCCTAATGACTTTCCGCACTTTGCCTTTTTATCCCGTTGACTCCCCACTCATTTTTAGTACCTACTATTTTAACCGCTACCCTTCAACATCTCACATTTACATGGCCATCAGATTTGTAATGTTTCCGACGCTGTAGTTTATGTTGCAGTAAATGTTGTCGTTGGGCTCTGACGACACAAATCCAGTGATTCGCGACTTATAGCAATCATTCTTAAATAGTTACGTCTAATCGTCAGTTTACAACTTTTCTGATGCACATACACACGTTAGGATAGTTTGGATACTGTTGGCTGGATACACTTCTTAACATGGCTAGTAGCCGACTTAACTGACGTTTGTGTTGAGTTTCTTTATCCCTCTCTCTTCCGATTAACCTCCACCTCCAACCACGATCTCATTCCTGAAGGATAATAAAAACTTTGCGGCACAACGGTCGGTTCCTAGCTCACTGGAACGGTATCCATCCGGTACCGGTGACTCATCTGGCGATCCTGTGTTGCGTCCCTTTATTATTTTTCTTGCGTATTGCGGCACAATGGCTATGGTGTTCCCATCTCCCATTGCCGTGTATAATCAATGAGTTTGGATGCTTGTATAATGAGTCAACATGACACCATTTGCCATCATGCAAATAGTGTTTTCTGTTCTTGTGCCATAATCTTTTTTCTGCTTTTGTTGATACTGACTAGAATATTCACTTAGTTGAACTCCTGTGCTAGCCAGCAGCAGCGATTGCGCTCGTGCTTCACTGCCAAACAAGCATACTTGAGGGATAAGAGGGGCGATGAAACGGGACTTGCTCCGAAACCGATTTTGATATGCCACACTAGCGACGTGTCCCAATAGGACGAAACGGCCATTTATTGCTTTTCCGGGTATTTCGAGGACTGTGCAATTCAAAAGCTATTGCGAAGATCCCCAAGTAAAATAGTTTTTATTAAGCAATTACGCAATGTCAATGCCTCCGTGTCCTTTGAATATAAGTAGCCAGTTGTACTGTGTTTAAAGTCGCATCATCCGCACATCTTACTGCTACTTCCCTGCCCTGCGGAACGTCCCACTCTGCAGACAACAGTCTATCTTGGAGTGGATAGTGGACTCATCACGGAAGTCAGTTGTGCGCCACCTCTTGTAACGCCTTTAATCAGGATTAGGTGTTTGCATGGACCTCAACCACGAAAGCGGGATCGATCAGAAGCACCCTGGCTAGCGTCAACGATTTCAATTCCTGCTACCACATCGATTAGTTTCTGCTCCACATCCATAGGCCATCAAAATACTGGCATCAACAATGTAACAGCATTTAGTGCTCACACTACTCCACTGTGCCATCGCAATCGACTGCACACAGGTTGGGATACATGCAGTGACGCCTGATTTTAGCGTTTTTACAGGCCCAACGCCTGATCCGTTATCCACTGTTGGCCCGGAACCATCCGATATCGGGTGGACAAAATTACGACTTTCAGCGTAATTGATGCAAATTTTTCGAACTTAGCCGAGCGGACACCGCTGTTCTTCAGAAGTCCAAGAAGTGAGGCGTTATCTTAGTATCCCTCGCTCGGTACCTTGTTGACATCGTCCTTCCTGGTGGCCAACCCTATTGTCAATCTGGCTGACTGGCTTAACCGTCAAACTCTAGCTCTCGAATTTCAAGACAGATCACTGTTCAACTTGTAATTACCTATTGCAATCCAAACACTTGTAGCTGGCTGTCCAGGCTCTAACCATAGATCAGCTCGATCTCCAGTTCTTATTTACGGGATAAATTTACTCGTTAGTTGCATACTTATTATTGATAATTCTGCCACCTTTTTGTTGATGGGGCATAGTGAAATCTTGAGGCGCTCTTACCAATCTCTGCTACCTATGGCGCCGATGCAGCATCACTCTCGCGCAGAAGGGCAGATTCTACAATGCAGCCTTCCGTTCAAGTCTTCTATACGCTTGCGAAACTTGGCTTATCAACTTGATCGACATAAAGACGTTAGTCACATTCAGTCATCGCTGCCTTCGCAGCTTTGCTCGTCTGATAGGAACACCGCGTGACCAGTGCACATGTTAAGCGTCGTGTACTTGATGCAAGAAGGTTTAGTGAACGTCTCAGCACCGTTATTACCCGCACCGAGCCCCGATGGCTGGGCCACGTATTGCGCATACCATCACACCGACTCTCGTGTCGTGCTTTTGCTCGCCCAAGGTCTGGATGAAAGAAGAAGAGGAGGGGTGGCCAGGCGATAACTTGGTCAAAAGGAATGAAATCCCTCACTTCGAAGTCGGCAGCGATTGGTGTCACCCGACTGCCGGGCTGAGGTCCGGGCGACGAACGCGTCTGGTTGGATACACTTGTTGACATGGCAAGTAGCCGAACTTAATGACGATTGTTTGTGACTTTCTTTATCCATACCGTCTTCTTTAGCTCCCTTCTTCAGGAAAGACTTCATGCTCCATGCATAATATGATATTTATTATTATATTACCTTTTTAGTTTTTTGTCTGTAATGTTTATTATGTTTTTGTATTACGGTACAATAGTTGAGGTGTGTTTCTCACCCTCAGCTAACGTATGTTGTTGATGATGTTGATGCATCAGGTAATTACTTGCTGACTCTGCTTGTAAACCGTTGAAATCGTTAAATAAGTCCGCTTGGCTTAGTTACATAGGCTGCTGGTAACGAGAGGTCGTAAGTTCGGTTCCTGGTTGGGCTGTTGGGATCCACACCACTGACGAATCCCAGTGGGACGAAACGGCCGTCTTTTGATTTCCGGAAATTATGGAAGACTGGTTGGCTTAGAGCTGGCTACAACAAACCATTTTCCCTTTACATCAAATAGTCCCTACTCATGAGAAATATGCGCCCGCCAATTTGTTTTCATGTGGCGATTAACTGCCTACATGTTATTCTATCTCCTTTTTTGTGATGTCCCCTTCGAGTATCAACATAATCGTGAAAATGTACTCTATGGTAGTCTGCTAGTCAGTCATTTATTACCCTATCTACGAAACGTTTCCTGCGATAGTCTTAATAGTCGTGTCTTTGTCCCCTACAAATATGTGCATCCGTTTGACAAGCGGCTTGTTAAGGCTGATTTTATGGGTTATTATTAGTCTGTTAAAATCATATACATCTTTTCCTCCTTTTCCGCAGGTCGATTGTCCGAGGAATTTGGCGAAATCTGTGACTGTGGAATAGGAAACGTTTTAAGATTTTCTTCGACTTTGTTTTGACAACTCCATCTTCTGTTTTTCTGTTCGATTTTTTTAGTAAAGCCTCCTTTTACTGTTGTTTCTACCTTTCGGTTATGGTTCCGCATCCCTCTTTGACCATTTTTAAGTGTGCAGTCGCCGCTGTTTGCACACTCGTTTTATCTCGCTCACGCGCTTGTGTGCACCTCAGCCGCTCTATTTCGACCCGTGCATTGTTTCACTCCGCCATTTTTATGGCGTTTTTGTGTTAATTTGCAGTTTTTCCCATTGTTAGGCGACATTATTTACTTGCACGTCGGCGTTTTTTATCGCACATACGGGGTCATTTTGCCTCAACGCAATGAATAACATGATGTGCGTGCTTCCTATTGTCAATGTCTCATCGCTTGTGCTTCACTTTATCTGTGAGCTCGCATTCCTGAATGCAATTTCTTCACTGTTTCCTCTGTTCATTGGGTCCTGCACGCAACTCATCGAGCATGTTCCTTATGACTTGCTATACTGCTTTCCATCGTGTCTTATCTTCATCATTAGCTTTGAACTCAGTCCGTTCGCGTAACAGTTCAGGCACATGCAACGTACCCTTTCTTTTCAAAATCGGTTGTAGTTGTGTTAGGCTCTTGTGTCGTCATGCCCCTTTAATCACCATCTCTTGTCAGCGGGTGCAGTCTTGGGCTTGGTGGTTTCTCTCCTCAAACTTTCTTGATACTGCTTTTAATGAATCTTGCCTCCATTTTTTATGTGCTTGCACTTAGTCATCTCAGGTCTCATTTCATACGAATTTTTAGTTCAGCTTTCGTAATTGTATTTCGGCACAATAAGTGACCGTTTGTTTCGATAGCGGATCGGGTTTAAGTATTGACGTTTGAAAGGGTAGGTGTATCTCAACTCCCACAAGAGTAGGGAGAAATGCGCTCTCTTACTGAGTCCCTGTAGGGCGGGGCGACTATTTAGCGCATTTTCAGTGCACGGTAGCTATTTAATTGGTCTAGTTACCGCAAATATACTTGATCAACATAAAATTGGGTAACTTTGGGCCAACATGAAACTTAGGTTACTCTCATTTTTCTTATTTTGTGCGTGATAAAGTTGGTTTTATATGTTGAAAGTTCATTTTTTATTAATTTGAAATCATCTTATCTTGAACTGGAATATTCAGTCTTGGGTATACCTCTTGTCAAAGATGGCCGGTGTCATGCCATGTGTTTAACATACAGTATCCTTTCGTCTGAATCATGTTTCTAAGAAAGTGTAAGTCTACTTTCTCTATTTTCACTTTGTGATTAAGTAATAGTAAACCTTTGATCTTATGTTACTGTCTTGGTGACCAATGTTATCCGAATAAGCTTTGTTACTTTTGGATAACTTTGGTCAGTTGACCACGTGATCTTTGAAAGAAGCACCATATACCATGAGGGGTTATGAACTCGTCAAAGTCGGCAATTAGCCTGATGTTTCCTATCACTGAGGATAGAGTTAATACCGCCATATGTAGTGTACAAAGCCAAAAAGCTTTGCGACATTTGGACTTGAAATGCTCCACCAAGCACACGATATTACAGTTCGGGATCAGGCTGGTTTAACAACACTTGCTTTTTAGACTGCTTTCAGCAAGTGGCATTACATTTCTGTCACAGAATAACTGGCCATTGTGTCCTTTCAGATGACAATCTCAGTTCTCATTTCTCTCTTGACGTTGTCAGACTCTGCATTGAAAACAATGTTGCTGTTTGTTGCCTTCCACTTAGTTCAACCCACCTCTACCAGCCTCTAGATGTAGCATTCTTTAAGGCCTATTGTTGTGTACGAAAAGTCAAACGCACGAACCGAAGTGAGAAGGTCGCTCCGGTAAACGAACTACTGTAATCTGATAAGTGTCTAACTACTTGAATACGTTAAGGTGTCGCAAGGAGAATGATGAACCGATAGGGAAGCAGAGAATTAGGCGTTTTGTGTGTAACTGGGATTGTGTGCACTTGTCTGTTTAGACTAGCCGTCAACCATTCTGACAGAATACACAACATCACCTCTCCGCTTAATCATGTAATGCGTCGAAACCATATCGATTCGGTGGTCTTTGTTCTCGGCCCGTCCTGCGGAGCTGCGTGCTTTGCGTAGTTTCGTCAGTGAAGGTTGGTGGCACATGCTCCGTTCGTCTGATACTTGTGAATAACCTCCGGGCGTTGACTGTACGGCCATCCTCCAGCCGGCAAGTGCCTGGCTCACATACATGCGTTATTCTTATCGGATCTGATAACGTGGGCTGTCCTTTTGATGCAGCGTTTACCATCACGCGCTCGAATGTTCCAGGCTGGAGCGGAGTAGTAAGCTTCCGGTAAGTGGTCTGATATCGATGGCGACGATCTAACTCGTCGGAATTATTGGTTGCAGGAATCGCAAGTGCGGCATTCAACTTTGTCCGAAGGGCACACCCAAGCATGAGTTCATCTGGCGTTTTGTCGGTGGTGTGCAGTTCTGTAACAAAATAGTACTTATAGCACTGCATTCTCCCAACCTGTATCACATAAGCGAATGGTTTGGATACTCATTTTCAAGGATCGATGGAACCGCTCTACCATGCCGTTTGCCGCTGGATTATACGGCGTTGTACGTGAGTGCCGGATAGCGTGAAGTTGAAGGAACGAAAGAAACTCGTGGCTTGTAAACTGCGGCCCGTTGTCCGTCACTATCTCCTCTGGTAATCCGAAGCGGGAAAACATGTATTTCAGCCATCGAATAATGCTGGCAGTAGTCACCTCTCCACACAAATAGACTTCCGGCCACTTACTGTAAAAGCAGGTTGCCACCAAACAGTTCCTTTGATACTGAAGCCCTGAGCTAAATGGACCCCTGATGCCAAGAGTTACCGTGGCCCACGGTCGCATAAGGTAGTCAATGGGTTGTATGGGGGATGAAACCGGCCTTGAACTCTTGTCTGCCCTTTGACATGAAGAGCAGTCATGAACAAGTTTTTCTATTTTGTGTGCCATCAGAAGCATGCGTCAAGCTTGCGTTTCGTACGAACGATACCAGGGTGGCTTTCGTGAGTACTTAGCATGATCTTTTACATCAAGCTCCGAAGAGCCACAACTTTTTCGCCGCGTATTAAACATCCATCTATAAATTAAAGTTCGGGACGCAAAAGTAGTATATTCGAAACTCGCCTGTGATCTTGTTATTTTGTGGCCAGCCGTTTAACAGAAACCTGAGTCGCCTTCTGGAGTTTTTCCTTACTAAGGGCTGAGATTGGTTCATTACTCAGGGAAGACACCTCTCATTATCATCCTCATTATTTTCAATTTCGTTGAGTGGCAGTCTTCGAAAATCGTCATGACTGGTGTGGAAGCAATACGGCGTTTTATCTCGTCAAATGATTTTTGTTGGGGATGACCCTATACAAATACACTTGTCTCCTATGTCAGTTCACGCAGTGGCTCAGCAATGTTCGTGAAACCCTGCAGGTAACGTAGGTTGTAAGAACACATTCCTAGAAATGCTTTGTTTCGGTGGAGGTCTGTGGACGGGAAGCCTCGGTGATGGCACACGCGTTGTCAAAACTCGGCTTCATACCGTCAGTTGTTATTATGTGGCCCAGGAACTCGATTTCACTAGCATTAAATTTGCACTTCTCGATGTTTGACCGAATATCATGTAGTCGACATAACACAGCATGCAGTCGTGAATCATGTTCTTCTGGAGTCCTACCGAATACACAGATGTCGTCCATGTATATTGTTTGACCAGGTAAATTGGCAAATGAGTGAACCATGAACTTTTGCCAAGCTGCTGGGACTGAACTCAAGCCCATTGGTAAGACTTTGTACTGAAAGAGTCCGTCCATAGTAAGAAATGCGGTCAGCGGTCTTGACTCCTTAATTAAAGACTTATGAAGGAAAGCGTTCCTAAGGTCCAATTTTGTAAAAATCTGACGCTGGCTAGTTTGACTAATAGTTCATCTGCGGTTGGAAGCGCAAACTTTTCTACCACGATTTGACTATTTAGAGCCTGTAGATCACTGCATATTCTCACTGTACCGTCCTTCTTGAGGACTGTAACCATAAGGTGGATCCATTTAGAACAGTTAATGTGTTCAATGAGATCATTTGCCCTAATGCTGACGAAACAGCCTCTCTTCTGGCCAAAGAAATTGGACGTGGATGAGCAGTAGCTACCGGTGTAGCATCCTGCGGTGAACGGAGGAGGGAACACGCCCTATTGTTTGTTCAAACAGTTTCGGGTGCTGTATCTGTAGGTCTGATAGGTTAATTGCCATGATACGCATATGAGATATGGACGGCGTGACTCCCACTGCAACCATGGCGTTGCGCCCCAGTAAGGGACGGTTATTTCGGCGGGTGACGTACACAGCAACTGACGATTTCACGGCCCCAAGTTGCAACGCAAATCCCCGTATTTCTACCGGGGCCTTTGTATAACTGTCAGATCGATAGGCTGAAGGATGTATAGGCATGTCATGTAGGTGAATGTCATAAAAACTACTCGCTACTATAGTGATAGGAAAGGCTGAATTTTGTTACATCTCAACATGTGTTGTTCTATCGCGTGCAACAACTGTAACAGCACGAATGTCAGGCATAGGTAGTTTAGGTTCTGAACAATTGGAACGATAGTTAGACACAGTACCTGTGTTATCAATGGAAAATGCATTTTCAGACTACTGTAACTGCTGACTAGAAACGGAATCTGTAGGATGCAACTGAGAAATACGTACTTAACGACAGCAACGGGCAAAATGTCCACGCTTACCGCACTTTTGGCAATCCATTTCTAAGGCAGGACACTTGGTAAAATTGGCTTTATGCTGTAGGCTACCGCAGCGGAAGCATTTCTATGGGGATTGAGATTCGCTTGGCGAGCGATGGATCTTGGCAACCTCCTGTATGTCTGCGTGGATAGTGAAACATCGCAACTGTTCGACCGTACATGCTTTGAGGCGAGCTAATTCCACAGCCTTATCCCAAGTCAATTTGGAAGCGTCTTCGGAAAGTAGACATTCCCGGATTCGGTTATTGGTGATTCCACTAATCAACTGTTGCACTGGCATTACGCCCTCGATTTTCTTTTTCGCTATGTTTGGATACTCGCAAGGTCGTACACCGCGAATGAGGCGATCAACAAAGTTGTCTGGAGTTTCCGATGGTTCCTGTGTAAATCGGCCGAATTTGAGGCGAACCAGGTTTGTACGCTGGCCCCATGACTTGTCCAGCACATCTAGTGCTTTCGTTAAGGTATCTTGAGACTGGAGTTCCAAAGCATCAAATTGACCTTGTCCCTCATGACCGAGTGCGTGTCTGGGAAGCTGCAGTCTGAACTTCCGTGTAGTTAGAAGCCGCAAGTAGTAGATCAATATGGTTTGTAAACTATGTTTTCCACTGGGCCCATGCACTTTCGTTAGGACGTAAGGTCGGATCAGACCAGTAAACTGTAGGAGGATGTAATTTCGTGGCGTAGATTCGTAAGCCGCGACGCCAGTGTTGTGTACGATGAGTCAAATGCATGATCCGAAGTAAGGAGGTCACTACGGTAAACGAACTACTGTAATTTGATAAGTGTCTAACTACTTGAGTACGTTAAGGTGTCGCAAGGAGAATAATGAACCGGTAGGGAAGCAGAGAATTAGGCGTTTTGTGTGTGACTGGGATTGTGTGCACGTGTCTGTTTAGACTAGCCGTCAAGCATTCTGACAGAATACACAACACCTATGAACACCCAGTGGAGCGCCATGCTGCGATAATTTAAAACTCCTGCGGCAGTCTCCTAAACCATCCAGAAGGATAGGTTTCCGGGGCTGCTTAAACACCTAGATACCATGGGTGAAAATAT